GAAGGAATTGAGAAATCAAAAAGAAATCAATGACATGAATTCTTTAAAGAATTCTCTTATTATCAAACGAAACCGAGCATATTAAATTACCTAATGATTTAACGTAATTATTATAAGAAAGTAAAAAACACGCAATGCCATTATTAATAATTGTAGTGTAATTTTCTTCTCGAAATCTTTTATAAATAAATATAATTATAAATAAAATAAGAAATGTTGTTTAATCCTTCTACTATCGAAAACTTACTTTAAGATTAATCAAAATGTGTCTAAGGTTAAACAAAACAAATATTCCCACATTGTTTCAATTCCATAAAAATGTTCTAACGAGTTACAAAAGCCCTATCGATGAAATTTGTCAGAACAATGATTGTAAATAACGGGAATTCTTCAATTTCGAGTCAAAAGTCGTCGCAATCCCGTTGACAAAAGATAGATTAGCGAAGACACGCTCGGTCCGCGTGATTTTAATAATTCAACGGCCGCCATCTTGTTTCAGTCGGGGATCGGGAAAAGACAATAAATTATATTGTTCGGAATAGGCGTGTAATATTCAGTTAATACCACTGCGTATTTTATTTTAAAAGAGATACGCATCGATATAATGTGATATATAAGTAATAACTAGTATTTATCTATTAAGCAAAAGGAAACAAACAGATAAATACATTACATAAGTAGTATAGCTATAGAATAACAATAAAGAATAAGTTTAAATGCACCCTTAACAGTTCCACAAATAGTTTAAAAGTTATATACAAATATTTTCACGTTATATAGCAATGATAAAGAAAAAACAAAACGTCGATAAAAAATACAGGAAATAAAACAAATTGTATATAAAAGTCAACAAACAAATAAAATTAATTATTCGTTTGAACTACAAGGTACCTCTGGAAATAAAAAAAAAACCTTTATTTTTAAAACAAATTACATGAACCGGGACAACGCTGACACATAATGATATTATTCTATATGTAATTATTACGAAAAAACGTGTTTCTTAAAAAGTCCTGCTCAGAATATAAATCTGCTTCGTCTCTTTTCATGTCCCGATCACCGGATGAAGGCGTCTAGGCGCCGCGTCTTGCCGGAAGCGACCCCAACACTCACTCGACATTCAATCGGGTGTGATCGCGCTGTCTCCTTTAGAGTTGTGTATTTAGAAGATGTGGACACAAATCTTTTGAAAGGGGAATTAACTACCCTTAGTACAAAATAGTTACATATGACTAGTCGATCTGCAGTTTTTTGTCATATGAAGATACTTAAAGATATACGTCGCGGATTTTTTTTAGATTATGTAAAGAATAACTTTCGTACATATTTTTTTGTTATCTTCTACCATTTTCGCAGCGCAGTCAACGGATACCCGCAAAGATAAGTATTTCTCCTGTTTTTTTTCACATTTTTCACTGTTTCTTCGCTTTTATTGGTTGCAACATGATGTTATATAGCCTAAAGCATTCCTCGATAAATGCTATTACCAACCAGTAAGTCCTGAGATTAGCGATAGATATAATTTTGGCGCGCTTTTTTTAATACTTAAATTATAAAAGCTTCATTGGCTGACAATTTAACATATTGTTTTAAGAGCTAATAAGCGCCACATTATGTTACATTAAGCGAGAGTGAAGCTTTAATCGGGTAGTCCGATTAACATAATTATGTCTGTTAAAAAATAGATCCATGAAATAAACACTGATGTGTCTGCCCAGTATTCTAATATGTTGGTGGTCTAACTTTTCAGCTACTTTTAAATAATGACTAAATAATATTTCGTTCACTGCGTGTTAATCGTTCAATGCTTCATATTGAATTAAATTGAAAAAAATTGCGTATTCATTTCAATTTTTTAAACACGTGTATAAAACTTTTGTATTTTTTTTTCGAGAGCATATTCTCAAATGATGATAACTAATTTGGGAATTATTCTACTCAAATTTATTCATCTATTTTAACAAAAAGAACTGCTCACTTTTAACGGTTTAACCCAATTTATTGAATGTATTTAGCTTAAATACTGTCAATAGTTAACGCGAGTAGTACACATTTAAATAAAACACTTTAACGGTTTAAAACGCGATATATTAGTTAAACTTATTTAAGCTGTGGTCTCCCTGTAACCACGGCTGCTGTCAAGCATCCGAAACGTTGGGCCGAAGTTAAAAATCATTTTCAAATAAGGTTAACCAATAAATCGCGTTTTAAACCGTTAAAGTGTTTTACTTAGTCGTGGTCACGGCTGCTGCCATAACTTGTTAAGTGTTAGTTAAATACGTTTAACTAAATGTTTTAAACCGTTAGAAGTGTTTTATTTAAATGTATAGTTATCGCCTAAACTACAAACAGTACTTAAAAGAATAGTTTCGCTATGTAATAAACGTTCAAAGTTTCGATGGCTGAAACACTATTATTAGTCAAATAGGTAGCGTATCGTTTGTTTACTGCCTCTCCGTAGACAGGGAAATGGGCAGTTATCGTCTTTCGAACGATTTGTTTCGCAATGGGGTCACACTGTTACGATAACATGCTTTTACTATTAGGACGTCAATTATTTTAGTAGCGTTTATATAAGTGAAATCTTGCTATCTGTACTTTGGATACGGGGCCGACAGTTATAAGACATAGATTATATTTACAGACACGTAAATTCTTTGCCCTGCCGGACAAATGCTGTATCGTTGTGTTTTTCTTTTAGCTTTCTCAAGAATCTGACTCAAGTTCTGTTACTATCCTTTTTTGCGGATGTGAAAGGGAGGAATAGAGAATTCGATCAAAGTCGGATGCAGAGCAGAGATGTCTTGTTTAAATAAAAAAAACACTTTAACGGTTTAAGACGCGATATTTATTAATTAAACTTATTTAAAAATGATTTTAACTTTGGTCCGACGTTTCGGATGCTTTGCAGCAGCCGTGGTTACTGGGAGAATAAAGATAAAGGATGTCTCTGATGTCAAAGTAAAAAGCTAGCGCCATCTGTTCTGTTAGTGCAATTGATTTGGTGTCTACTTTTATAATGTTTAATTTTTCAAGTATCTTAGATTCCATGAGGCTGATACAGGCAGAGTAGCCTAACCGCAATTTTATGACTAATCTACAAGAGCAGAGTGACCGAAAATTGTTAACATAGTTGTTACACAAATTACTTATAGAACAAATTCATTGTCGCCTAAGTTAATTGTGCATTTTTCCTCCTTATTGAAAATCATGTTTTTTGTCAGCAGTCTTATATTGAATGACATAATACGAATATTTTAACATTATTAAAGCACTTTTAATACTTTTATTCTTATAAAAATTCAGACGAATCCTACTATTTATTACTGTTTCATATATCAAATGGAGAAACAAAGCTTCCTGCGCCATTTATTCAGTTCACCTACATATTCAGCCGATGCGAAGTCTTATAAACAATCGCGTATTTTGTTACTGACGGAAACGCCTATATCTCATTGGATGTGATAAAGCTTGTCTTTCCTCTAACTTTTTTCACTAAATGTTCCGTCGTGACGTCTTACTCGGCTGTTTGCGCACGAATAACTTTCACATAATGGTGAATACGTAATAAGTTTTGCGTAGTTTTTGCAAATTTTCCCAACGGATACGACGACGTCAAATATAAATATACAAAAGTTGTTGACGCGAAGACATTTTGTTGAATATAACTGCAAAAAAAGTTTGTCCAGCTATTGAGGTACCTACACTTGAGGAATAATATTAAGATATATTATATATATATATATATATATGTAAATAAAATAAAGATAAAAAAAAATACAATGAAATGTCGTTCGTTAAAATGTACGGTTCTTCTCCCTACACATATTCATATATTTTGTAGGTACATAGTAACATTTAAATGGGACTTAGAGGGCAGTTGTGGGTAGTGCGTGATTGTGCTTAATTGGTATGAAACTAAAGACTAAAGTCGCCGTAATCTGTACACTTTATTTACAACGAAAAATAGAAAAGCATCGGCCTCATTTTTCTCAAACCTAATTTGTTTGCGATGATATGAACAAAACAAATTTGTATAATTGTCTATAACTTTATTTCGAATAAATACAAACAATTGAACACAATGTAAACAATACATAACAGATCAACAATAGAGTATAATTTGATAGAACCACTATAAATTTTCAAAAAATATAACTTTGTACATAACGGCACTAATATTTCGGCCACAACACTACGAGGTCAGACTCTAGGGCACTAGAACTAAATCGGTATTATTAATCGTAAGATCAACATATACCATAATAATATACACATTTTTTTATCATGAACAATATGTCACTGTTACAATTTCCATATTTAAATCGAGATAACAGTACAAGAGAAGTAACAGTGATTTTAACAATCTGACAGTGGGCGTTTTTATCTGTTTGTAGAGAATTATTAATTAATATTTACATACTATGTATTACGTAACGTATATAGTAATTTTAGCGATATATTCAAATATAATAAAACGTGAATAATGATGATATGCAAAATTTAACATACAATGTACAATTTGCATACAACTTATTTACGAATTTATTATTTCGAATTGCAGTCAATTACTTAGAATTTTATATGATTGGCGAAAGACACAGAATTGAACTTTTTCTGAATTTTATTATTTCTTTCTACTTAGAGTCATAAAAGACAAGAGGTTTTCATAAGTTTCCTTAATCATACTAGATCAATGCATTAGCATTACCAAATCTAGGAACAACCTATAATGATAAAACTTAGTAAAGAAGTCCCTGTTTAGGCAAACATTGTATTATACCGTTGCAGCCGAAATGTTATAACAAAATTCTTCTACTTACATAACTATATCACTACATACATTTCTATTATTTAGTAATGAATCTAAATTGAACTATTGACACTTGATTAGATTATGTAATATATAAAAAAATATTTGTACTAAAAAGTACATATGCCTATATGCATACAATACCTAACAAGTATCAAAAGCTCATGGATTATATTAAAACAAATTTTCACTTTTCTTTAACTTCGGTGGGACCCTGAATATAGTGATAGTTGATAAACCTAGCACCCTGTGTCAGCTGAGCACATTCATTTGTAAAGTGACAAGCAAATAAGAGAAGATTGCGGGGCTGGACCTTCCACGCGAAACGCATGAACATCAACGAGTACAGGGTTAATGCTGAAAAAAGTATATTGATCAATTTGACAGTATTACACTTTTTTTAATATGCTAAGAAAAAAAGTAAAAAAGAAGTACTTTTTTTATGTATGTCTTGAAAAATGATTACAATAGAACATATTCATAATACCAAAAAGGATGTCATAATAACACAAATTTTTATGTATCTCATTAAAATACTGAAAATTTTACTGTTTCTGTTTAATAAACACATCTTATCAATTTCAATTCCATCAAATTTATAATTTTAATTATTTATACATTTCCTTTTTTTATAATGTTTATACTTTATTATTATTATTGCAGGTGTTTTTATTTCATTATTGGTGCAATACAATCATAATTTCATACAATCAGAACAATTTTGAGATTTTTATTGTCATCATAATATTATAAATTTTTATCTAATCATATCAACAAAATTATCTCAATTCAAAGATATGTGAACTTTAAATAACTATTCAAGCAGTGAATTGTATGATTTATATTATGATTCAATGATAACAAGATATTCTACTGTTGAGATGGTACTGAATTATTCTCGAGGAAGTTGTCTTATTTTAATTATACAAGGAAGGTTAATGTTGAATTGTTTACAGAAATAGCATTGTTTGATGGGGTAACCATAAATTACATCTCATGTTAAAAATAGAAGGGAGTTGCAGAAATAAAAAGGTAATTTAAAGTGAAAACTTACCAAATGTCATTTTCCCACTTATAAATCTAGGATCTTTTCTTGTATCAGCAATAGCAGCTAATGGTATACCCCAGTTTGCAACAGGACCCCAGAAATGTGTGCTGCATATTAAAAATAAATGTTTATTCATAAGATTTTTAGTACTGAAACTCTAAAATTAACAGAATATATGGTGATCTCAAAAACTATTTCATTTGCCATAGCTTACCTCATTAAATATTCACGAAATTCTTTGCTTTTGAGTTGCTCAACTAATTTCCTTACAAGAGACATGATGTCTGAAATTAATTTTATTAATATTAAATATTAAATGACTTTATATGTAACTGTAATATTTAATACGTTTTGTTTACGAAAGCACTCTATGTACTACAAATAATCTTGAACGTTACTCATGAATTAGATAAGGATTAAATCAAGAACGACAGAACTAACTTAACTTGTTGTTCATATTATAAATAGTCATTTATTATGTTAATAATCTAGTTAATAATATATTCATACAACCTCAATATTCTTCAAGGTTAGGTAATTCAAAATTACAGAGAAATTAAAATAGAAAGCGAAGAAATAGAAGCGAACCTTTATATATAATTCTATGTCTTTATTAATAGAAGTACCAGTAATCGATATGTATTTTATTTAAAACTTATTCAATCACTTTAAAATATGTTACGTTATGGTAAAATATAGTTTTAACTTTAAACCATTTTCACTTATAACACTTAGGTCAAAGTCATTTAGATTTTGATTTTGACAGCTTTCATTCTTTTAATCTGCTTGACGTTATACTAATAGACATTGGTTTAATCTGTGGTACCACAGAAAAAACTTTGTTAACAGCGGCATATTTAATATAATACGGCCGACGTAACTTGGCAAGTCTAATCTTAGAGCGAAACGCTGCGCAGAAATGTTTCTTAGGATGTTAACTGTGGTAAAAGCGGGGTGCGCGGGACGGGGATCTAGGCTAGAGATTAATTCAATGTCAATACAATCGACCGTTTATCCAATTTCGTAATCGATTTGGATTATGTATTTTTAATCGTATGGGATATTGTAGTAAATGGATTTATGAGCACATTGTATGGTGTTATAATTAACGATACCATGATTACTTTTAAAGGAAAATAAAAACATTCAAAATTTGTTTTTCTTTATTGAACGACGTGATTTAGTTAAATATGAGTTATTATTTATATAATAAATATTTTTACATTCTTTAAACTTTTTATACAATTGATCCAATCTTGTCTATTTCAATAGGAATCGATTAAATGACACTCTCAAGGAATGAGTATGGAGTATCTATATGTGTTTATTTCGTACATATTCGGTAAACAGTAGTGTGTCTCGGCCACTCCTTGGCGTTAATTTCGTTATCTCTATCTTGAGCGCTATCCGTTAGAAAAGTGATTGTTTATTGTTAAATTTAATACTAATAATTCTTTTTTGTTATATTTTTGTATTTTAGGTGAAAGATAAGTGTACGTAGCCCTTATTCTCTTTGAATCAATTATTGGTATGTTACTTTTGTTTGCTATATGTAAAATCTTTCATTTATCCCAGTAACGAAAATAAATGGCAGTATTAGTTTTCTTTACGAATGTACATGCGCCAAAGTTCGTCTAACCTATGTTCAGGATTGCCAAGTTACGTCAGCCGTATTATAATATCGATTTATAGATTTTTTTTTTAATAATATTTAATGGCCTGGTAACAAGACTCGCTTTATAGATGTAGAACACACCGGTTGAGTAAAAGTCAAGAAACTTAATATGACAAAGCAGTGACTGCTTTGTATAATAATTCTACTCACCAATAATGCATTAAACATTTCAAAAGCAAAATAATAATGACTTAGGAGCATATTATGCGAATATAGATTTTAAAAAATGAAGTATACATCGCAGAACTCGACCTAACAATGGGATTTTTACGAACGCTTGTAACCATTTATATGATATCTTACATCATCCTTTATTTGGGTCTCGTCGGTACACTTGTCTACATTCGAGGTGTTATCATCGCTCAAAACAAGTATGTCTCTCTAATTCTCGTCTCTGTTGCGCACAACTACTTCTAAAAAATGTTTCAGGTTGCTCAGTACATTACGATGCGCTTTGCAAAAAATTGAACGTTACTATTTTCAAAAGTATGGCCCAAATATAGTATACTGATTTGTCAAATGTATTATTACTGTAATCATTCTATTTTATACTTTTTAATATTTTTTACAGCATTCCGGACGAATATTTTGTAGACAGAATGATAAGGTGTGGACAGTAAAACAAAATATTGGTTGAAAAATATATTTAATGTAGAAGGCACTAAATGGACGGATTATTCTAGTTTTTTGGATATAAAACTTGGAATGTAAAAAAAAAGTATAATTCAATATGCCTATCGGTGTTGTAAATGAACAAAATAAAATGTATACCAATAGACATATTTTGTATATAAAAATATAAAACAATAAATTACATGATAAAATTAATTAGTTATAAATCTTAAGAGTATTAAGCGCAAATTTTACATCTTTGAGATTCTTGTCAGAGCAGATAATATATTGAATCAGTTGTTTCAATGACTATATCATCTTTCATTTAAGTATATTCTGTCCTATACCAGAAATTTCCCTCATCCATTATTATTTAGCTGCCTAGCATTTGGTGATAATGATAAAAGTTGTCTTGTATCCTAAATCTATAGAATAAAATGCATGGGTTCATATAGTGTACAACTTAAGTGCTAGTATAAAAAACAGAATTTGTGATTTACAAAATCTAAATAAACATAGAACAAGTCAAACTTACTAACTTAAAAAGTAATGAAATGTTGTAATCCTTAGGCTAAATTCAGTAAGAAATAATGATATTAATTAAAATCGATCAACCGTAAAATCGGAGAGCTGCAATATGTCATAATCACCATCGAACCTTTAAGTAGAATTCTAATATATTGTATCTAGGTATTCCGCATTATTAACTATCTTAACTTAATGAGAGCAAATAAAACAGTTAAAATAATGATAAAGCTGCTCTGCATGGCACTTGCACCGGCCAATCTACACTTAAACATGTCTATACGCGTCAATTTATCTTGAATGATGTTTTGAAATTCAGCTTCGACGATTTGCCCGTCATAATACGTAATCAAGTCTTCGAATGGATATTCATAACCTTGGAGACATTCGCATTTGTAGCCGCCAGCTTCGAACCCACGACCTTGGATTGGTACACACTGGCAGGAAAAATTTAAATACAAATGTTTAATGTATATTACAAGCTAGTAATGTCCCATTTGGGTTTACAACATTACTCTATATTACTCTAGTTCTTGGTTTTAAAGAACAATGCCAATAATACGTATTTCAAATCGAAATTGGTACTTAAATTTGAAATACCAAATTAATGTTTCCTTCTACTTGCAATTTATTACTATTTGCAGAATGGTGTTCATAATACAAAATATTTTTTACTTACATAGGACGAAGTCCTGTCACACTTATCCGTTCCTTTAAATGCGTTGGGTGTATATGACTTATCAGGACACTGGTTAATATCCAGGGCCATTAGAGGCATGGTCACTGCTACTACACCCCTGAAAATATGAATAAAAAAGTTAGTCTGTTATATTTCTAGTACTAGAAGATTCCATATTTATATGTATATCCAAACTTGTGAAATAATCACTTTTTAAATCATTAAACTTCAATATCAAACATCCATTTAAATAAAACACTTTAACGGTTTAAAACACGATATGTAATAGTTAAACTTATTTGAAAATTATTATTAACTTCAACAGGAAGTTTCGAATGCTTAGTAGCAGCTGTGGTCACGGTGTACTACTAAACTACAGAGACAGTATTCAAACATCCATTTTAACATATTTACAGCCAAATTTCATTTTTAATTAGTGACTATGATTTTATTATAGTTGACCGATCATAAGAGCTATACTCACTTAAACTCAAGTTTAACTTTCACGCTGTCCCATCCAAAGAAAGGAGCCCCATATGTGATGACCCATTGTTTAAGAGGCCCTTTGCAATCATAGTAGGGCTGTGTCCAGTGCCCATGCTTTAAGGCTGCTGCGCGATAGAAAGTAGGATACCTACAAGGGAAAAAAATAATACAGATTTTAAAAAGGAAAATCCTGTTTTGTCTATGGGGCATGGGAGAAATACACTTCTGTGCCAGTTTAAGACCTCACTTTCTGTTTCCAGGAACGTAAGTGATTTCTCTAGGGGATAATAATTTATCCTTCATGGATGTTTCGTTAAGATGCTTTACCACCAAGTCAATATGATTTATATTTTTACCTTTCATATTGTTTTAAATAATGGCCATTTTCATCATCACGAATCTTCATTTTTAAGAAGAACTTCTCGAGCCCATCAAAGTTAGTAGACCAGCTCTGCTTTAAGAATTGAAACCAGGGTTTGTTTGTGTAAAGTTCCTCTGAAAAGCAGTCGCTCTATTAAATACTTTTATACATGCAACAAATGAGACCTGTTTGAAATTATGAATTGAATATTTTCGATGTTTTAAATTAAATGAGACCTGTTTTCATCCACTTACCTGTCGTATTTAATCGTGCAAGGTCTTCTACTTTATATTTTCGAGTGTTGAGTTCAGTCTTGTAAGCAAATGGTGCGAACATTGTGCGGTTTGTGAACTTGTTGCGATCCCAATATGTACCTATTAAATAATATTATTTACAATAATTTATCACAAACAGTTCAAAGGTCTATGAATCAAAAACTTAATTACTGTTATTGTAACATAACACAAATATATTGAATCACACAGAATGAATGAATCCCTATTCATTATAATTTAAAAAAAAACATAAATATCTACCTGCCGACCAAATCTTTGAATCTCCTAATATAATTGCCAAAGTTTCTCCAATCATCTGATCCTCAGTGAGAGGTTTGTCTGCAACTCGAGTTCCACTAAATACTTCTTTTGGATCAGATACCTGTCATTACATATTTTATATAAGAATATTGTTCTTTTAAATCTTACCTTAGCTGTAAATATTTTTTACCTGCAAGAAGGCACTGATGAAATTTGCAAGCCGTACAGCCATCTTAGCCTGATTTTCAAACTGTTCTTCAGCCCCATAAGCAATATCACCATTTAAATACAGATCGGATGGGTTATATCTGTGTAACAAATGCAAATGTACTGTACATAACAAAGATTATAACAGAAAGAAGTTTAACAATAAATTTATATAATAACTCACTTAGAACAGTTCTGTGGTTGGACACCTCTAATAAAATTGAGTACTTCATATACATTAACTCTTTCTGTATGCAAAGCAGCTGGACCGCTAGTGGCATTTACATACTCATAGTATCTATCTGCATAAATAGCCCTAATAAATGGATGGGCTTTTCTCCATTCTACTGGCAAACGTTGAATCCCTATAAATAGAGCAAAATATTTACATAATCTTAGCACTCTTTTACGGCATCCTACATCCTCTTAACAATTAACCACTATCTTAACTAGTAATATCTTATATAAAAAAAATTGGGAGCTAATTAAAAAAATTACAACTAGTAATAGTGGAATTTCATTGATTTTTATATTGGATAGTTAAGGCAAATAAATAAATAACTTTTTCTCATACTCTTGCATTATCTCATTCTCTCTTGCATGTATGAAATTAATATTTAGGTATTAACTGCAGAGAAAGTATTAATATTCTACCAATACTTACATCCAATAGGTAAACAATCAAAATTATTATAGTATTGATCAGAAGTAGCTCTCTCTATAATCTCTCCAAGATAAGGTCGTCTTACAATACTTGGTAATCTGAAGTTAGGTCTACATCTGCACTGGTATCCACCCCGACGAAAACCCCAGCCATGGAGAGGTTCACACTGAAAAGGAAACATAAGTTGAGTTCAGGATCAGTATAGTTGACAATTCTATATGTGCAGTATCTATTATTTACTTCTGAAAATACATAACTCATTTAGGTTTTAAAATATTATGAGCCTGAGAAGTCAGGCTTTAGCAAATCATACATCATTCAAAACACGTCACTCAAACAGGAATTTCAATTCTACCTCTGTACTTTCTTCTTTACACCTAGCTGTTGATGCAAATCTATTGGGTTTATCATTCCCTTGACTAGGCGGGCATTGATTTATATCTATTCGATCATAGTCCAATTCCATAACAACTGCTGCTGTGTATCTATGGATATATAAGTGTGATTAGAAGTGGAATAGAAACATTCTCCAATCTGTATACCAAATATTAACAAATGGATAAAAATATATGATCCACATCATACTTACGTAGGATACTCTACATGTCTGAACTGAGTGTGCCGAGGGTAAATATCAGCTACAGGAGATACAGCCGCTACTAACCACTTGTTTAACCTTCCACAGTCAAAATAGGGTTTTGTCCAATTAACTGGACCAGGTACTTCATCATTTCCAGGTGGTCCGTGGAATGTAAATGTTTCATTGGTATTATTAGCATACCTTATTTCAACCTGATAAGTTGTTTTCGTGTCATGCCGTTTGTCCACTTTGTCAGGCAACCATTTCTGATACCACTCATTAATACGATAGAAATCAGAAGTATAATCTTTAGATAGACTATCAGAGTCAAACGCACCCAAATCCTCAACAAAAAATGTATTCAAAGTTGATATTTTCTGTAAATGTACAGGGTCATTGAAATCATCAGCACGAAAGGCTCTTGGTGCAAACCGAGGCATTGTTTTGTTAAAGAATCCTCTATATGATGATGTATAAGACATGTTTGGAGAAAAATATATTGAACTGGCATTAATGTAGGGGTTAGACGAAACATCGGCCGCAGAAGAAAGAAAGTAGTACATCATTCCTGGATCGTAGGTATCGTTGATCGCTGGACGAATGAACCTTGACTGCAGAATATAACTCCAGAAAAATGCTCGATTCATAGCCATGTTATGCAAGTGTAATAATGCAGTACGGTTAGGGAATATGGGATTTATGTTTATTTCTTTAACGTCAGGATGATGTGAAACGGAATCTTCGGGTAGAAAAAGATCATCTAAATGAGTGATATAGCAGTTATCAGGGTTTACTTTGTCCATTTTACCCCGAATTTCGTCAAAACTATCCCAAATTTGCCATTCATATTGACCGGCCACACCCCACAACAACGCGCAGAGAGATATCAGGAACAAGGAGATATTTATCTTTTCCATCTTTCACATCTATCTTAAGATTGGGATAAATAAAATTATTTCATGTTTGTCAAGTAATTCACAAAATAATAACTATGTTACAATAAACCCAAAGTACATATAACCGAAAACAAGTGTTGTTAAATTTTTAAACAAAGTATTTGTCACAGATGACGATCATTATTTAGTTGTTTGTACTTTCAGTACACCACAGAAATAATAAAAGTAAGCTGTGGCTGACATTTAATTTTTTGAGCACAGACTTCCTTCTTTTTTATTATCTCTGGTTTTCGAGTAACCTAAAATATTATGACCTATCTTATGCATTTCCAAAATATGTAAATATTAACATATTTTCCAATCATTTTGAAATAATTGAATTGTAAACAGATCAGAACACTAAATCAATTCTGAACGATGTCTAGTAACCTTTTCAGTAAGTTTCATTTATCTAAAATATATTTATGTTCAAATTGTATACTTATCGAAGGAAATACGCTGTTTTAGGGTCGCTGTTTAATAGTTTATCCTTACATAAATGCAGTTCAACCTCGACATTATCAGTAAGTAGTATAAGGACTTACAATAATTAATTTATTACGTTTTCCAAATGTTAATTTCACATTTTTTATTTCTATTATAGCGGAGCTTACATACAGGAACAGTTTATTATGCAGCACGAAAGGGCACAAGAGCCAAGGCTCGTGCCAAAAAAGTGAAGGTTGAAATTACAAAAGTTGGATTCATACCACATAATCAAAGAGGAAAGGACAAGTGGGTATTTCTTCCTACTGTAAGCTAAAAGAATATTTTTACTTTGTCTAACATCATTTTCAATTAGTGACATCTTATAATAATATTTATATTGTTTATTATGGTATTTGTAGAAATAATGATATTTTAAACAATACAATTACAGAGCAGCGAAAATCCTAATAAATAAACATCTGGATGATTCATTCAAAGCCATATCATCAGACAATGTCTTTCCCATGAGATATTATCGTTGGCCTGTTTATACAGCTGAGGAAGCCATTAAAGCTCATCAAGAAACACACCATCCAACTATGTATAATGACACTGATGGTTTAGTATTTGCTAAAGTGGAAATGAATATGGAAGCTGTTAAAAAGGTACTAATATACATTTGGGTAAAAGCGTTTCAAAAACTAAAAAGGTTTTATTAATAAGAAAGATCTTATCTATATTCTACTCTAATGCTCAGCCTGTTTTTAAGTAATATTTTTACAGAACCGTTTTATGGAGAATTTTACAAGACTAACTCTATTGCCTCACTACTTTCCGCGTGATGAAGAACGCACAATTTTGGCCTTTTGTAAAGGACCAGAACTTATCAAACAGGTTGCTGAAGCTGGTGCAAGTATGGTAGGAAGTACGGAACTTATCAAAAAAATTCAGGTATAGTACTTTATTCATTAACAAAGATAAAGTATATAGTTCTTATATATTTTTGTGATAAAATGTTTTAAGTCTTAAAACTATTGGATTTATCTGTAGAAAAAGGGAAATATTGTTATATCAAGTTCTACACTTACAATTAAAATATTCTATTAATTGCAGGATGGAACAATCAAACTTGGTGACTATGATTATGTTATTGCTCACCCAAATATCATCACAGATTTGGTGCCTATCCGAGGTCTTATGAAAAAGAGGTTTCCTAATGTCAAATCGGGCACATTAGATTCTGATATTAGTAATTTAGTAAAGAAATTTGCTGCTGGTATTCAATACAGAGTTGTCAAAGATGAAAATCAGCAAAACTATGGCTCAGTGGAAGTACCAGTTGGTCGGGTAAGAACTTAAAATTGTCATATTAAACAATTAAACTTCACATTACAGTGTCAAGTACATGGTGCTGTTATACTCATCTTTGCTTCAATATCACGATGACAATACAAAGAAACAATATGTATAATATAAAAATTGAAACAATTTTAATGCTTCATTGCAGTTAAATATGGATGCAAAAAGTGTTGCTGAAAACATAGAATTTTTGCTGAAGGATATTCAAACTGTTCGACCTAAAAGAGATGGCCTTTTTATTACAAGGTAATAAAATTATTTTTCTTATGCTGAAATAAAAAAAAAAATATGTCCATGTTTTTGTTAATGTCATTTATTTTTCCAGGTGTTTGATAGTAAGCCCACCTTCAACGGAGAACTTAAAAATAGATCCATTTGTGCATGTTGACCGCACATTGTCTAAAGAAGTACAGGAGGACAGTGATGATGAAAATGAAGCTGTGGCTGCTACAAATTAACGCCTTACGCCTTCTAAATATTCTTAATTGCATAGTATATAAATAAAATTTATTATAGTTTATTTAAGTGTATTATTTTAGTAAAAAAACTGCACTTGCCTAGTATTCATGTTTCAGTTGGAATTGAAATTGGTATATTAATTACCATCTTCTTTGATGAAATAATGTAATATAATTATAAATATTTTTCGACGTTAGCCAGGTGTAGTCTTCAAATCGCTTTAAATGTGTATGCTGAGATCCGAATATAAAAACAATTGTGTAAACAAATTATTAGGAAAATTGTTTTTAAGTCTCATAACAAAAAAAAGAGAAGTACGACTCTCTAAATAACATTGTCTATGACGAACTTTCCCATTTTGTATGTTTAACCTGTGGTAGTCGAAGACGTCACTTGAAGTTATCAAAACACAGCTGACGTTATAACTCGAATTGTGACGTTTTTAAGGCATCAATACCAATAGCTAGCCAATAGCATTAGAGTACTCTTAACTTCTCGATAGGGGCGTAAAATAATCCGCCATTTTGTCTCTGATACAATTTAATATTTTTGTATAATTCCACCAGTTTTTATTTACGGAATCCATTTACAAAAGTGATTTTAGTAAAACTGTGCAGTGTTTTAAAATTCTGTGATATTACTGTGTACAACTAGTTTTTGTTTACGTTACAATAATCTTGACGTTATTACTAGACCAATTTTGACGTCGAAAGGACAACTACAATATCAAAATGGGTACAAGAGAGGATGAATATGATTATTTGTTTAAAGGTAAGAAATATCGTCATGTACGTAAAATTAACTTATTTCTTATCTACTAACAAACCTAGTTGTTGAGCCATTTCATTATTTCTTTATTAGATCACAATTGTTTCCTTTAAGCGATATAGTAATTATTTTACTAACGGTACATAATACTTAAGATAACAAAGAAAATTGGTTTTAATCTTAAGACAATATTTCTGTACAAACATCCTCCCATTTCGTTACTTTCCTTATTCTTTGTTTTTCATCAGCTGATTTTTACGAATCGATTTTGAAGTTCTTATGAGTCACCTTACTACATCATAATGAATGTCTAATGTATATATCAGGTACATCTAACTTAGGTATATTGGCATAAAAGTATGAATAACCGTCATCATATAAGGTTTATAGGTTTACTATTTTCTTTGTTCCAGTGGTGTTGATAGGTGACTCAGGAGTTGGAAAAAGCAGTCTCCTTTCACGTTTCACTAGAAATGAATTCAACTTAGAATCAAAATCAACAATAGGAGTGGAGTTTGCCACTAGGAGTATAGAGGTAAAAAATTGTTTTTAAAAGATATCACTTTTCTTAATAATTAATAAGAAACTTGAGTTGGACAACTGATTACTATTTGGGAACAGCTGATTTTGTTTTAAACAACACACAAATTAAGGGTTGAATTTGGATTTCTGATGTGCCCAGTTAAATTGATTGATCTTCTTTTAATCAAATAAAAATTTAAGTTCTAGTATGCTATTTTACCTAAGCTCCTGTTTAATTTGTTTGATTCAGTTTTTTGGTTTTTTAGGTGTGTGTAGACTTATTTTAATGTGATAAAATTTTTTCCTTAATCTATGACCTTATACTATAATTAAGTTTAATTGCTCTGAGCATTTTATTAAATAGTCCTTAGATCATCTTGAAAATTATAAAAGGGACAGAATCGCTTTAGTAAATAGGTACTTTTAACCAATAATTTTTTTAAGAACAAAGAAAACACAAATTAAACATATGTAAAATAATAATGGCTGTTACTGTTATTGGTAGTTTTGTACTCTACTCCACAGGTTAGCATTAAATTTTTGATTTTGGCTAAATGCCAAAAGCAGTACTTTGGTAATATAAAGAGAAGTAATAGTAAAATCTTTTGAATGGTTAACAAATAGATTTTATGCAATTTTTATATGAAATAACTATATTTTATATTTCTTTATTTGAGGGTGAATATTTAATGGCATAAGTATACAATAAAAATCTTATAAGGGTTAATAGATTTATATGTAAGAAGACAAATTCTAACATTTCACATCAAAAATGAACACACTAACACTATCAGATGTATCTTGTAATCTTATATCAAAGAATGTACAATGACCTTATAATTTATGTCATCTACAAGATCTAACATCAACTGTATTGCCCTTCAATCACGTTTTGAATTACATATGGCATTGTTCATAGCAAATGTGATTGGTTTATTTAATCAGTTTGAGTGATACTATTTATTGTAATGAAGGCAAAGTTAAAAGAAATGCACATTTAATATTAACTACAAGTCTCCAGAAGCTAGCAACGGGAATAATAATATTAAAAGTGCGGTTTCTGCCATAAAGTAAACCTTTATTGTGCTTTTTACAACTTTACACAACTAGGATATTTAAAAATAAACCAAAACCCATGGTGGATCTAAATAACACGCTAGTAGAAACATTCTTTGCAAGAAAGATACCTATGTGGGAAGATTTAATCACAAAGCTTACAAAGTAAACTTGTTTACTATGATGTCACTCACCTAACGCGTCGCGAATTTTTTAAAGACATAACGTACGTAAAAAAACGTAATTAACTATGCTGCATCCATTCAAATAAGTAGACTAGGGTTTGGATATCATTATTATATACTGTGTGTTTAATACTTATTTTTTAATGTTGCTACGTGGAGTTGGACATGTTTACTATATTTACTTCCTGCTTTTCATGTCCATGGCAGCTACCAAAAATGGTGGATTGTAATCCTTTTCCTGCTAGTACCGTTATATTCAAATATTTATTCTGTGCATGATCAATAATGTGTTTAAAAATGAAAGTATGATAAGAGGAAATGTCGGTGACCCTCTAATTATATTCAGTTGACCTCGCGTTGCCTCTTCGATGTTTCAATGATATTACAATTAATGAAATGTAGTAGACTTCCATCAGTTTTTAATTTAATGTAAAATAGTAAAGGCACCAAAACAATAAAATCAAATTATGATATCCATCAAACAATAACACAAGTTTTGTCACAGACAACACTTGAAAATGTGTTTTCGGAACAAATTAAAAAAAACTAGGTTCTCTATGCTTTTTAATGTTCGCGCAATACTTCGTCATTTGATTGATAATTGTTAATTTAGTAGGTACCTCTAAATTATTAAAATTTGATTTTTAAGTAAAATTATTATTTTCTTTTTAGTTTAAGTTGGAGTGAAAACTTTAGTTATAATTTGTAAGTCTACTGTGATACTTATATCTTACAAAGTCTCTGTTACTTATGCGTTATTTGCTCAAGTGGAGAATTAAAAAATTTCAAGTTCTATAAATATAAGCAAATATAAACTTTATGGCTTATTTGTTTTAGTGTGAATTACCTTCTAGAGTAATTATTTTGTATTGTTAACGGTACAGGACACATGCTCTGCAGTTTGTATATTCCAACCGTTGTGTAAATTGTGTGCGTAAATTTCTAATATATCGTTTCTAGGTGGACGGCAAAACCATTAAAGCTCAGATATGGGACACGGCGGGCCAAGAGCGGTACCGCGCAATTACGTCGGCGTACTATCGAGGCGCTGTCGGGGCACTGCTCGTGTACGACATCGCGAAGCATCTCTCGTATGAAAATGTGGAGCGGTGGCTTCGCGAGTTGCGCGACCACGCCGACCAGAACATACTGATCATGCTTGTTGGCAACAAGAGCGATCTTAGACATCTTAGGTTAGCGAAACGTACAAAAGTATTTATATACATTATTGTTAAAATAGTAGTAATACTTTTAACGATTTAAAACGCGATTATTTACTTATTTATTTTACCTAGGACCCGATGTTTCTAATGCTTTGCAATCCACCGTGGTCACGGAGGAAATTGGTTGTCTAATACATTTACCGCGTGTGTGTGTGTGTTGTTTGACTTAGAAAAAAAAATCCAAACTATCAGTCATACTTGAAATTTCAAATGGACATAATATGTAATATTCAGTTAGTTATAGATAATTAAAAACATAGATACATGTATTAAACTCCGCTTTGTTTAAAGGATTAATTAATATCCTAACCTCGTCGAATTTGATTGGAAACCGTTAAAATATTTCTCATCAATGTTTAAAAATTATAGATTCGTCTTAAACTTTTCAGATCTATCACCACGGAAGAAGCGAAGGCATTTGCAGAAACCAACGGTCTTAGTTTTATCGAAACGTCGGCCCTCGACTCCACGAATGTCGAACCTGCATTCCAGAATATTCTTACGGGTAAATATAGTCATAATTTTCTTTGTTTTAAAAACTGACTGACGCATTCACGCAAAACAGATCGCTGATTGTAGAAACCTTAGAGAAGTTGTTCTGTATCCTTAAGCATCCGAAAATTTTATATATCTCATTACAGAGATCTATAGGATCGTGTCACAGAAGCAAATGCGCGATCCACCCGAAGGTGACGTGATCCGACCAGACGTTGAGCCAACTGATGTGCGTCCCTCCGCCGCAGATTCTGTGCGCAAGCAGTGTTGCCAGTAAACACGGTAATTTTAATAGTTTTAATAAATCCTCTCTAAAATTCATAACAAAAAACATATCATTCTTTTATGAACTGAATTATTTTCTATAATCTCTCTTTTTGTCTATGAATTCACAGGTACCTTATATGTGCTGTATATTTGTATCTGTGGTTCTATAATTAGACTATTCGAAATTTGAATAGAGCGGCAAAAAATATATTTTGTCTCCTATTGCTTGCAGCGTGATGCTTTAGCCTAAAGCCTTCCTCGAAAAATGCTTTTAAACAATTGAAACCAGTTGTTCCTATGATTAGCGCGTTTAAACAAACAAACTCTTTAGTTTTAAAAATATTAATATAGATAAAAATAATTTTTGTTATTTGTTTTACAGAACTGTCCAATTAAGTATGTGGAAGAGAATAAAAGGAAAACAACGCAAGACAATCATTCCTTAACATGTTGCCAGCAACATGACGCCATTTCCTCGTGGACAGTAACGAACTCCGCTTAGGTGGCAGCCCAGTGCGAGCTCATGTAGATAGCTTTCTGTAATCTAGTGTCGAAATATTCAATTTAAAAATTAATATATGAAGTGAAACTTTTTACCGAGACATTTGTAATGAGAATTTCTTAACAACGATCTTTCGAGTTTCACTTCGAAACGTGAATTAACACGTAGTTCTTCAATGCAATATGCACACGATTCGGTATTTTATTTTCGCTTTAAAAGTTACAAACCGACTTGGTTATCGACTTTTTTAAGTTTCTTTTCATTCGTCGTTTTTGTGAGTTAGTGTATTGGTTTATTTGATAGGTATTTATAAATTACGACATAAAATGCGGTCAAAATGTTATTATAAATTATGGTTCATGTTATATAACCATAATTTGAGAATAATTAATACAAATATGACCTTTGACTATAAACCTACTGAGTAATAGCAAATAACAAACTCACAAAAACGTCTGTGTAGGAAATAATTGATATTGTATTTATTTAGTTAATAAAATGTCCATGCATCCATGGAGTATTTGTTATATATGGAAATAATTAAGCAATAATTTGGGCTGATATAAATATATAGCACACAATAGCTTCATAATCTGATTGTTTCGCCACGGTTCTGTGTAAATTATACATAAATAGTTTTTGTTAAGTTAATCGTTTAAACGAAAGAGTTATGTAATCGGGATGTGTATAATAAACCGCCATTTATTAACTTGCGTTCGTTTTATTTATATATTCTAACAGTGGCTCAAACAATTTCTATAGCATTTCAGCCCATATAACAAGGTGTTTTGGTAGACAAAACAAATGAAGAACACGTCGAAAATCCTACGGATGTTTTTCATTATTCATATTGTGGAAATAAAGTTATAATATACACAAAACCGATATTAGTTAGTAGTATTATATACTAAGTGAAGAGTTAGCTTTTTTAATGATCATTTTTGTTATAAAATAGTATGTGCCTTTTTTGGTCAGTGAGACATTAATTCATGTTGGCTTTAGTTGTACTGTTGACAGCACGTTTATATTTTGTTAAATCGATAGGAATGGTACTTTTTAATAAAAGTTCTGACCGCATTTGCACTGTGGTGAAAATGTAAAAAAAAGTATAAATTCTGTTAATCAAATTGAAGTACTATTCCAATATGAGCCATGTTCAGGGTGTTGCAATCTAGTGCCGTTGTGTTGCCATCTTAATACTCAGCACACGGGGTCGCCATACTTCAGTCTTAATTGCAACGTCGCTAGCGGCTTCGAAGTTATATATTTAAATATATTATGGTCGTACATAACGCATGATTATTTTTTTAGTGCCTAACTGTAATTAATTATTAAAAACAGATATAAAGATATGAAGAGTTTTATTATTTAACCTACACACCTGCAGGACACGAATAATATGGTGTACTTGATGGCAAATGACACCTGAACAAAATACGCCGTCGACCTATATTGGCTATGGATATTCAGAAGTCCATAGACAAACCAAAACGCGATTATACTATTATTTCTTTTTCATCTGTGGAAGCTTTTGCTATAAAATGATTCATCAAAAATCTAGGTATATAAATGGGTTATAGATAATGTCAAAACCTCAAATGATCATTCTGAGTATGTACAAAGAAAATGCGCTATGGTTAGTCGAATTCCTTTATTGTGACTTAATGCTAAAATGAGACATATCACATCACCTTAAAACAAACGTGTTAGGAAGGATGAAAGTTGAAATTAATAAATATCGGTTGATAAAACAAGAGAACTCCAGCTTAAAGTAAATATGAGTCCAACACTTAGTTCGGTATTAGACTTTTAGTAGCGTTTAATACATTACAATGAATACGCCGGTTGTTTGCAATTCTACAAGCTGGGTTCTCGGTCCATGTTAATCGTTATCAGCTTACTTCTTCAGCACTCTATCAACGAGAGCCTTGAATAGATCTAAACCTTTCTCGTTAGCCTCCTGGTAACCTGGAGCCGTGGCCTTTACCGTTTCATACCATCTGAAAACATGTTACAAACACATGAATAAGAGCTTTTAAAATTGTATGAGATAAAGCGTTTTTAATTGCATAAGTACACCCAATTTACTATTGTTATTCAAAACTAAACTAATATCAATTAAGTACTAATAATACAATAGTAATCGAGTACATTAGATAAGTAACTAATTCTATTTACTGAGTATTAACCAATTATAGACCACGCAAAAATGCAATGCATTGTCTACGTTTTGTCGTTTTTTCTTTAGCAACCATTCTTATGAATTAATTACTTATTGAATAATAACTTATAAATAACGACTTTGGTCAGTGGCGAAACTATAGGGTAGCAAGTCGGCAAAATGCCACGGGCCCCTAGCCCAAAGGGGCCCCCGGTCAGAGAAAATCTCAATTGTTGGTTCAGCTTCTTTATATATTGGGGAAGTGGGAGGGCCCATTCGATGAATTTGCCACGGGCCTCGAACGGCCCGCTGACTTTGGTTACCTAATGTTTTTCTCTAACTGCTTATCCTTTGTTGTATAGTTGTAGAAAAATTATGTGCTTATAATATACTTTGTAAGTATTTTCTATAGATTATTCGCGAAGTGTTTACCTATCATATAAATCACCTTATATATATAAACAATATAAATCATCTAGTGGTATAGAATTCCAAATACGCTCCTCAATTTATTTGTGAATACGACCCAACGATTCAGAACGTAGCTATAATATAATTTGAGGTATAAACAATATTAAACATAACTTAAAATTTAGTAAAGATTTACGAGTTGTTCTTTGATTGTTACCACTGGGAATAATCTTACCGCTTAACGTTAGCATATTTCTTGAAGTCAATATCAGAAGCCTCAAAACTCGATACTCCAGCAATGATGCTTAGGTCAGCCAGCGTGAGGTTAGGTCCGGCGACATATTTTTGACCTTCCAGGAAGGTGTCCAATAGGTTCAAGGCATCTTCTACTTTTGCTAATTTCTCTTTGTCAGCTGAGGCGCCGTAAAACACTTGGGGATACTAAAACATATAAAAAAATATAGGAATATGTAAAAGCAATACGTCATTATATCGTAATAAACCTTTTTTTGAGTGCTACAATAATAAAGATGTGAAATCAATCATGTAACTGTTTGCATATCTTTGGCTTTATGTTATTTTAACTTATTATTATTTAGGGTTTCGTACTTAAATTTTCATTGACATCTCTAACTAACTGGGTTAGAAAGTTACAATTTACGGGGACACAAACCGCAATAGTTTGACAGTTAAAACTTTAAGGCGTAATTTTTGCTGTTCATTTAAGAAAATAAAAGGTATCTAAATGATTACGTGCGCATTGAATAAATAAGATACTTACGAAATAGTCGGCGAATCTCTGGTAAAGAGTTCCGATGTCGAAATCAAGTCGCATGTCAACTAGGGCTCTGGCTTTGGGTTCTTCTGGGTAAAGGGTGTTGCCTTTGCTATATTTGTTGACCAAGTACGCCATAATCGCACGCGACTCTGCGATAGGAAAACCATCGTCCACTAGGGTGGGCACTGTGTGTTGTGGGTTCATCTAGAAATGTTAAACTTCTTAGATAATTCTTGACTACGAACAAATAAACTCTAGGGCATTATTTAAGCTATTGGTTGTTTTTCGCTGAGCTTCGAACTTACAACCCTAGTCCTTAACTCAATGATTACATAAGATTTGACATCTAAACCATGGGGCGAAATCTGAGCAATTACTTTTGTTTTTCTTTACACTAATTAGTTATACACCATTCCGATAGAAAGAAAAAGTCGATCAAGGTTGAATTCAATTGTTCAAACTTATAAAAACCAACAATCATCATAAGTACAATTATTAGAATTAGAATTAATCATTAATTTTTCTTTAAACAATTAATCATATGAACTCATGGTAATTTATTAAAGAGATAACAAAGTAGGTATGGGGTAACTCTGTACGTAAACTTTATTTTAACTATCTGTTGCCATAGAACAATATTACGAGCGCCAAACAATTCCTACAGTCACCTTGAAAATTACATTCCATTCTTGATTGCTATAGTTGAAATACGTACTTATATTCATTTGCTGTACTGATCAGCGAGCTTTAAGTTTTATCAAGCTTCAAATTTTTTCAACTCGTTAACTTTTTAAGATAAATTGTACGTTAAGTTTTCGACAGAAGTAATTTTATACGATTTTTGTAGGCAAGTTCCCTTTTCTAATATAATGCAAGCTTTTTATTAGAACGCTACGAGTATACCATATTCTTACCTAAAAATATATTTGTCAGGTATCTCTCAGATTCGGCAGTTTTTTTCGTAGCTTACGTGAATGGTATACAGACATTCATAGGAGAGAGTGTATGGTTGCTGTAATGCACCCGAAATGTCGAGTCGTTCTTAAAAATTCAATTGAACAAAATAGTTCGTGTTTAAATCCGTCAAAAGCATTATTTAATACGTAAGGAAAGAAAATATTTATTTATATCTTTAATTTCCCTTTGAGCTTCTTTTTGTATTGTTATTTTATCATTTAGTAGTAAAATTTATAAGATATAAAAAATTAATTAACTGTGTCCCATTTGAAGTTCAACGTCTCTATAACAGTTAAAATTACATCATTACATCGCTCATGCAACTATTGGCCTTCAGATAAATTATGAGGCAAAGTAAACGTTATTAAAATGGAATTAAGATTGCATTCAGTGCCTTGGTGCAATAAGCACTGTACTCATATAAACGGTACTACTTGCCGAATACCATAGGAAGCTTGTTACCGTCTTGGGCAATACAATTTAGCGTTAATTCACTTAAGATTTGACAGAGCTTCAAAGCACAATGATTACCCACCTCAAATATTCACTCAGGTTTAATTGTTGTAACCTTTGTGCTATACAAAACAAAACGTTATACAAAACGACAAAGCGGCATTACAATTATTTTAAAACAAGCCCCAAACTCCGAAATAGGTAAAGCATTTAACAATAAAGCAACGGAGGCGGACATATACAGATAAACTAACCAAGAATATAACAAATATGCAAGTTATTTTTCCTGTAGAAATGATTTGAAATTAGACAGAATTTCCTGTAGAATGTAGATATACCTTCAAGAACTCAGGTTTGAGGTGGTCACTGTGGTGCATATCGACCAGCTTCAGATTGAGGTTGAGGTTTAATGCACGCGCAGTCAGCAACACAGCGCGGCATGGTGCTGACCCTGGTAAATAGTACAAATCCATGGGCATTCTGAAATGAAGTAAGAATTTTTATGACCCTCTGTCGTCGATAATTAAAAAAAGACACACCATCATCCGAATAAGTCATATAGGTATCAGTGTATATATGATTTATGCGTTGGTCTAATGGTAGCAATGTGTGGCTCATGATCAATAGGTCGTAGGTTTGACCCCTACCAGGTCCAACATGTTTTAAATTTTTCTGAGATATGCCGGGCTTCGTGTCTAAAGTTGGGTACTAAATGGGTGGTAGGAATAATGGAATTCACAATCTGGAAATGGAAAGCATCACGAACCACCGCCCACAAATGAAAAAGCCGTGAAGCTTAATCGTGTTTCGGTTTCGGTCAATGGATTTCCGAATATCCAAAGCCAAAATAGGTCGACAGCGTGTCTTGTTTAGATTCTATAGGAGTATTTCACCTAACATCAATAGAACCCCATGCCATGTCTGTTCTCCTCTATCAATAAATAAATAATATCATTATACCGAATATTTGTATTATATTGTTGAAAACAAGCGCGACGAACGACAGCCACGCTCAGTAAATTATTTTCTTTTTTTCATAATTTAACTACGGAAACAGAGTTATTTCTTTTCCATTTGTAGATACAGATTCCATTTCCTATTAAGACGTATACAATTTTTCAGTGACTTTTAGACATGTGTTTCCTTTAATTTTTTTTTAATAAAACACTTTAACGGTTTAAAACGCGATATAATTAAACATTATTTCAACTACGTCTCCCCGTGACCAAGGAAAAGCATCCGAAACGTCGAGCCGTAGTTAAAATATTTTTAAAATAAATTTAACTAATATATATCACGTTTTAAACAGTTAAGTATTTTATTTAAATGTGTACTACTCGCGTATACTACAAACAGTATAAAAAATAAAGATAAATAAGTTATATTATTCGATTATATAAGATAACGTGAATTAATTACAGCAACTTGGAACTACTAAAATACCGACGTCTCGAAACTCGATTTAATATTTGTATCCATTTTGGGGTCAATGATTGGAAGTACTGGACGGCAGGTAAGTAGGAAATAACGTTGCTTAAGCCACCTTGGAAATTGTCAGTTGGTTGAAACATACTATACTCTAGAAATTGAACGTAAGTTTGATGTTTTTTACTATTGAATATATGTTAGGTTATAACCACGTTCTTACATGAACTGTGAGTAGGTACTTTAAATTCTTATGTCTAACACATATTAGTCGATCTTGTATTGTATAGGTTTATTTATTTATTTAATTTATTAACATTTTATTGCACAAAAGAAAAGAAAAATATACACACGAGACTTAAATACTGAAAATTTGAGTGCAATGGGCGGCCTTATCGCTAACAAGCGATCTCTTCCAGGCAACCTAAGATAAAAGATGAATAAGTAGTAGGCGAAACAAAATATACAATCTAAAAATATCAAAACAGAGTTACACACAATTACTAAAGTTATACTAAATAAGAAGGAATACGCAAGACCGCGATTAGATAGTGACCAATTTATGCAGTTGGGTAATTAATAGACAGAAAATGGAGCCTTGGAGAACATAAAGGAGCCTTTTAAAAGAAAGATAGGGGAGAAAGCGCCATACGAGTGGAGATGGGTAAGAAGGTATACTACAAATTCATCCAGATTTATATTATATACCGGACTAGCTGTGTCAGCCACTTCGTCCGCGTGAAATAATTACTGTGGTCATCCAAATTTGATTTTGCAAACCTCTACATCTTTATAAATTTAAGCTACACACGACATCAGTCGCCTACCGTCGTTTCGGTTCCGTCGTTCTGGCAAGTTAATCTTAAAAAATACATTCCCGCTGTGTTAGTCACAGCGCGACGTTTTAAAGCCTATAGCCTTTTTCGATAAATACTCTAACAAACACAAAAATAATTTTTACTTCGAACCCGTAGTTCCTGAGATTAGCGCGTTCAAACAAACAAACAAACTTTTCAGCTTTATATATTAGTATAGAAAAGACGAGATAAGATATATTGCTGAATTTTACGTAATACACTACTATTGCCAATTACGAAGTATCTTCGGAATTGTTTATGAAAGACTTAAATGCTCTTCCACGTCAATTGTTTTTGTTACTTATAACATTATATTTTATATCACAAGTTTGTAATAGTACATCGTAGTTATATTAGATTAATTTCACGCGCTATAAAATAGTTTTTTTATAAATTGGTGTAGAAAATGCTATTATAAAGGAAATATATTAAGCGAGCAAGCAGAGCAAGCGCGCCTGCAGATAAATAAATTGTCACTGTTCATCTTGCTGTGTATTGCTAACGTGGATCTTATTTATTTTTTGTTCCCGGAATACGTAATAAAACTTGACTACGAACCTAAACTAAATTTGTCGAACTAAAGCACTTAAATAATTTATGAGGCGATATTAGTTAAACTTATTTGAAGATCTTTTATCTTAAAAAGAGACCTCACCGTGACCAGGGCTGCTGCAAAGCATCCGAAACGTTGAGCCGTAGTTAAAACAATCTCCAATTAAGTTCAATACATATTAATTTAAAATTTCATCATCATAATATTAGTTTTAATACATATCGCATTTAAAACCTAACAGTTGTATTTAAATAAAATTATCATTTTTTTTAAATTCGACGTATTTTTTTTTTATTTTTGAGGTAAAATTTGTTACACTGGCGAGAGATATATATTGTAAGGCGGAAGCGGGAAGTAGTTAGGTTTCATTTAGAATTGTGATTCTATTAAATTGCACTAGAAACAGAGAAAAATGCAAGGCCGAGAACGAGATCTACAATCTATTGTACCTACAAAAAGTAAACGGGAAATAGACACAACGAATCTAATGTAAAAACTATTGCATTGACGTTACTTGAAACTTGCACTCGGAATAATAGTTATTGAAGATATTTTTACATTTATAAGTATAATAGTTTTCTTAATTAAGTCTAAATAAAATAACAATATAAAAATAAGGTTACTGAAATATTTGTTACCTTGAAAATTCATTAAGTACACGTGTGGGATTAGTACACGCGTACAATTTCGGAAGTAGAAATTCGCCTTTCATATTCAATACGTAATACTTAGTTGCGTATACAAATACACACACACACTATATATATAGATTGATTCAAGAGGAAGGTTTTTATATATAGCGTTCACAGCTTTTCTGTAGTGTATATGTATACTATCAGCATTGAACCCTAGCGAAGGTGGGGTGGGTCGCTAGTTCAAATAAATAACCGTAAAGTCGTTAGAGTTTTAAGATCTATTTAAGTAAGGTGTTACAACATAAATAAATTAATTATCCTTATTAACTAGCCCAGTTTAGTTTATTAGCTATAACATTTATAACGCTATAAATTTAAAAGCAAATTATTACTTAAAAAATTACACCATTAAATCTCCCCGCGACCACGGCTGCTGCAAAGCTTTCGCAACCTCGGGCCGTAGTTAAAATATTTTTCAAATAAATGTAACTAATATATATCGCGTTTTGAACCGTTAAAGTGTTTTATTAAAATGTGTA